GTGGGGCAGCCTCCTGGTGCTCCCTTTCATGTGGTGTCTAAAACTGAAACGAGGGGAAGAATTAACAACATGCAGGAAAGGGCCCTCGCTCATTTTACAACTAATTCAGTTTCTCCTACTGTAAAACACACCAACAAAAACTCCCTCAGAAACAAAGATATAAACACAAAGCTCCCTGAAAAGAATTTTCGGAAATACATTTCTCCCTTAATAATTATTATTAACATTTTAAGCCAACCTATAAGGAAAAAAAATCAAGGTGATTTTATTTCTTACTACCTGGGGCTACATAGTAATTATGGAAATGGCAAGGAATTTGTCACTTCGAGTAACCCTAAGTGTATAAAATAATTTGATTAAGTAAAATACGGTTACCTTAGTCATCATACTAATTTGACAAGAACTTTAAAAACGTCTCTGTCTGTTGAAAATGTTAACAGATAGTTTCCTCAGCTGTCTGCTTCTGGGTTGAACATGCAAAAACTCATCTTCAAAATGATGCTTCTTTAGAAAAAAAAGGAATAACAAATCTGCCTCACCCATTAATTGCAAGCCCACTGACTGTTCTCAGGCTGAAAAAATAAAAAGTTTGACTACAAAGCAGTGAGATAGAGCCTCATTAACCACACTCAGTCATCTGTGTCATTATTTTGTTACCACAACCTCAAACTGACTTTTCTATAATTCTAAATAGGGAAATATCTACCCCTTGCTCATAGGAACTCCCTTTGTGCCCCACCCAGGAAACTAGACTGGCCTTTTTTCAGTTTTCATCCTGAGGAAATTCAAATGCATTTGTATTTACACCTCAATCTCATCGCCGAGAGGTGTCAGAGGTTTTAATTTCCCGTACACACCTTTATCTACTCCAGTCCTCAGTAATTTGATACCACACAGAAACCTCTATCTGCAGGGCTACCCTCAGTGAATGGCTTAAAACATTTTCGTGGAACCTTCTCGGTGGAAGAAGCAAGGTGAGGGGTGCGGCGTTGTGGAGACATTCATGTGTGATTCTCATACTGGAATCTGAAGGTAGTTAGGACTTCTTGGGTTTTGTTTTTAATCCAAACAATGGGAAAATATATAAGGATAAAATTGCATTTGAAGTTATGATCATTTAACATATTCATATTACCAAGCCTATGATACAGAAAGCGGTTTCTTTTTGTGTTACAAAGGTTTAATTTTACCTAAGGCAGTTACTTAATGTGATTTTTAACCCTTAAAAAAGTGGAGATGTAAACATTTGTTCATAATGCCATGAAAGCACTTTCTTTCCCCTGAGGAAAAGTGAATTTCTTATCAGAATATCTGGCTGGCCTTGTAATCTAAATTAAAATAAAATTTTGGAGAAACAGAAAAAAAAATCATTTTAGTGGGTCTCCGCAAAGCCCAATAAACACACACAAAGTGAGCTCCTCACCATGTAGTTCTCATGCGCCTGCATCTTCGATCAGCCCAAGACTTACGTACATGTTACATCCTTGCAAACAGGACTGGAGCCACTCGAAGCAAAGACCCAAGAAGAAGAAAATGAAATTGCATTCTCTGTTCCATACACAGTGACCATCAAACTGAGCGGCCTTCTCCTCTTATGCTGCAAAGATTATTTCATAGCCAGTCAGGAAGTTGAGGTGACTGTGACAGAACACCCCTGTGACTATTGGCTTATCTGAAGCATGGTTTCCAGGTAAGACATTTGCAACTGTAATAGATTTCAGAGTTCACAGTTGGCCCACGTTGCACCTGGGTTACTGCAGCTAGATCACTGAGTCTGGCTGTCAGGATCAATGTCTTTCTGTACTCCCTGACACCAAGGCAAAAGTTGCAGGTCTCCAGCCTAGCCTAACAATCGATGGCCTTCTCTTATACAATACAGTTTTTCCTTGAGTTTCCTCTCTGGGTAGGTTCCTGGTGGAAAACTAACACGTACGTATATACACACAGACACACCCACACACACACTTTCTCAAACACACACACACACACTTTCTCTCTCTCACACACACATACACACACACTTTCTCTTTCTCTCTCTCTCTCTCTCTCTCACACACACACACACACACACACACGAGTCCTCCTTCTCAAAGTTGCTTCTCAAATCACAGGCAACCTCCTGCTTCAGTTCTGCAGTCAGGAAATCTATACTAGTATCATTCAGAACACCGGGAAGTTTGTCTTTTCAGAAAAAAACAAGGAGGAAATGAAACCGCTAGGTTTTAAGGCACCAGGGGAGATGAAATAAGAAAGTGGACTCTGGGAATCTAATAGGAAACAATGTCTTTGGCACAGAATTTGTAATCACCCTCCTTTCTGTGAAAGGGAGCATTGCCGACCTGTCCCAAGGCAGGTCCTTCCTCAGGTATCTAGAAATGCCTAATCAGAGGGGCTGGCCGATTGCCGGTGTAAGGATCACATATAACGCACACTTAGCAAGCTGACCCTGCCTATGATCCCCTGCAGACACAGGGTCTCAGGCTTCCTCAGAAAACCGTGATGAATTAAAAGGAAGAAATTTGCCTTTCCTGCAAACAGCCTGCAATATTTCATTCTCCAGTTATCCACAGAGAAGACTCGCATGGCTGAAGGAGCAAACTTATTTTCCCCCATCTCCCAAATAACAGATGAAGGGAAAACTCTGAAGTGGCCCAGAAGACCAAAGCCCATAGCAAGCGGAATCAGTCAACCCTCACACGCCAACGATTTATTTTCATGAGACTAGGATGGCAAGGCGAAGTCGAGGGCAACCGGGCAAAGCACAGACCTGAGAGCTTTATGCCTCCACTCCTAGTCATCAAAATGAATCCAGTTTCCTAGGTCTGTCCTCTCCTGGGCCTCCATCTGCTTTCTGCAAGTCACCTGTTGACTCCTGTTACCCTACCCCACCCAACCAGGCTTTCCATCAGCCAAGGCGAAAAAAATCCCAGGATGCCACCACCAGGTGGACTGAATTTCTCCTCTGCCTGTTCTGGGATGAAAGTCAAACTCCTATCTCCTGGGGCCAGCCCTGCCTCCAGAAGTCCACCACTCCAGGAGCACTCTGCTTCTTAACTTTTTAAAGGAGCTAAGCCACTCACCTAGTCGCAGCCCGGCTTCATGTCTTTGTCAAATCCTTAGATCACTGCAACCGAAAAATAATAAGCCCACACTTTTACCATTCCCGGAGTGAAATGTTCTGTTGGTGTTTGCCGCACGTGAATAATGTAGGCCGCTGAGCAAAATTGGTTTGAGGCGAGCAAACCGTTAAAGTGGAGGCAGCTGTTGATACACTAATTACCTCCTTTTAAACACGGACCCGGTGAGGTATTATGTACTTTGCATATGTCTCAGTACAGACCCACATATATTTTATTAATGTGAATTTGCATCTCTGTAACGCATGTGCTTATTTAAATATTTTAACAGTCAAATTCCCCCTAAGGAAGCGCTGACCAACTGACTCCCAAAACACAGCTATTCCTCTCTCTCAAATTTCAAGGGCCAATAGGTATGTAACGGTGTGTTATGTCTATAGACACAATAAGTGCATTTTATAGCACAGAAAATCAATGCTTTTGGCTACAGCGTTCACTTGCAGTCTACAAGTTACAAATGCACAAGACAGAGACAGGGATGTAAACGCTCTTTATCTCAGAAGGAGCAACAGACATGGATTTGATTTTCAAAAGCCCTGAAATTTTGTCACCCCAGGAACAGAGCTGAGTTTGAAGACCCCCCCCCACACCCCTTTCAACCACCAAACTTACTCAACACCAGAGACCAAGCACTCTTATGCTTCCCTTTCACTGTGAGCCCGGAGCCTTGAGAGAGAGTTTATGAATGGTATAGAGCCCCCAGCGTCGGGCCCTCCTTAATTTCACGCCCAGGCCAGGCATCAGGGATTAATCACAGCATTAGGACACACCTGCTTCTATCTCTGGATGTGGTTATTCAACGGCCAAAATCTTGTCCAATTCTCTCTCCATCAAACTTGCTCAGGAACACTCAAAGTCTATGACATTTTATTCCAGTTGCGGGTCAATAGCCAAGTAATGATTAACACTATAAACTCTAAAACTGTTTTTCTGTTTAGACAGGACGGTACTTAGGTGTGGAAGTACGCTCTCTGGAACTCAAGCGGGGACCACCTGAGCAGGGCAAGCGAAAGGGACAAAGTAGGTACCTGACAGTGCTGAGTCATTACAAGCTGTTTCCTCTGAAATGTTATGCACCCATGGGCCCTTTCAGCATCAACATCCCCTTTCTGGAGGCAAATAAAATACATATTCATTGTGCAAAATGGTGCAACCTTCTGTGGGCGACAGGCCACGATGGGGAATTTAGCTCTAAGAGTGGATAGCAGGAACTACACAAACTCGCAGCTGCTCTCCAGGTACCGTAACTTTATCCCAGACGCTGAAAGATGGCTATTGGGATACCGGGTGGGAATATTCCCCCTGCAGCCCCGGCTCAGCTCAGGGCCACATTGGGGCGCATTTTACTCTAAACTGTTACATTCCGCGCCCCCCACCCCCCAAGCCGTAACTGGCGGATGGGGAAAGCGCCCGGAGAAAATGATGCAGAATAGATTTGTTCACAGGAGGATACACTGGAGAGTAGAGGACGCAGGATGCTAACTGGCTTTTCTTCCCATGTGCTGGTCACCTGAAAACCCCGAGGCTCTCCTCTCCAAGGAGACCCCTGAACTCACCGTCTGGCTCCGCTCTTGCTGGGGGAGAGGAATAGTTTCACGCCCACCTGCCGGCCGCCTCTCTCCCCCGGCACCCCCAACCCCAGCCGGGCGCGCGCTAGCTGCTGCCGCCATCCACGGTCCCGCCCGCTCCCCGCTCCCTGGCAGCCCCAGCCGGCAGCTCCCCCGGCGGCCGCCTCTGCACCACTCGCCAACCTCCACGCCGGACCGAGGTCATGCCCGCCTGCCCCAGCGCCCGGCGGCCCCCTCCTCGTGCCCGAGCCGCGCTGGGGAAGGGGCCCGCGGCGGAGTTGGCTCGGGGACTCACCAGGTAGGCGCCCACCGTGCCCTGCGCCAGCATCAGGGCGCACTCGGACACCAGGAAGATCTTGATGTTGGAAAAGCAGGACACCTTCTTTTTCTTCTTCTTGTTCCTCTGCGCCTCGTCCCCCTGCAGCTCGCCGCTCCGGCCGCCGCCCGACGAGCCGCCCGGCTTCTTCCCCTGCATCCTTCCCCCGCCGCCGCCGCCGCTTTCCCGCTCGCCCCGGGTACCCGGGCCGCTGCCGGGCGGGGGTGCGCGTCGCGAGGCTGCGTGCTGTCCCCGCCCCGGGCCCGCGGCGGCCGCCCCCGTCCTGCCTGCCCCGGCTGGAGAGGTGGAAGGCACAGCTCCTCGCCGCCGCCGCGCTCGCCCCTTCCTCCTCCTCCTCCCCCGCCTCCGCCCTCCCCGCGCCTCCTCCTCCGGCTCGGGCTGTGCCAATCACAGGGGCTCCTCGCGCCGCCCGCCGCCGCCTCCGCCGCCCGCCGCTGCCATCGCCCGCTTCCCCTCGCTCGCCGGCCGCGCCTGCTTTCACCCCCTCGGCCCCAGCCCCGAGGCCTGGGCCTGGGCCTGGGCCGCCGAGCGCCCCCGCCGCGCCGCTCCGGTTTGCCCCGGGGGAGGAGCGGGGGCCGGGCTCGGGACACTGAGGGCGGCGGAGGCTGGCAGGGTCGGGCTGCCGGGAGAACTGGGGAGACCCTGAGTCCCGGCGGAGTCAGGGGGCGCCCCTGAAGGAGGGAGCGGGGGGGAGCGGCGCCCGGTTCCTAGGTGGCGCTGCGGGGCGCGGGGCGCCGGCCGGGGAGATGGAGTGCGGAGGCGCCCACGCGGGGCTAGGACCCGGCGCTCGGGAACCCGGGCCAGGCCTCGGAAGGCGGGCTCTTCCCAGGAAGGGAGAATACTAAATACCCAGGAGGGGCTTGGCGCGCGCTCTCATCCGCCCGGGGATTTCTGGGGACAGACGTTGTGCTCCGGAGCTTGGGGAGGTGTCGGGTCAGAGCCGCTTGAGGTTTCTGCCGCCTGCCTCTGCCCCAGCTCTCCCCTGCCAAGGGGCGGGGTGAGGGGGGTGTAGCTGAAAAGGCCGCAGACCGAAGGGAAAGAAAGGGGAAGTTAGAGGAAGACGTCGGGAGCCGAGCGGACTGTTGGTGGCCTGGCCTAGGTATCCAGGCGCTGCAGGATCGCCGCGGACCCAGCAGAGGGCCTTGTCCGGCTCTCCATCCGCCCAGGGCCCCGGGCTGGAGCGCGCAGGAAGCGGCCAACCACAGGCCTGCTGGGTCCCCACCCCTCCCCGGCTCTGTGGCCCTTGTCACCATCCTCGGCCTTGACCTGAATGCCTGGCCCGTGGCAGGCCCTCCTAATCACTCCCCACTCTCAGCGTTACCAAGGAGTGTGGGCCACAGGGCGCCACCAGTAGGATCTGCTAGTTCTCAACTGCAGCGTTTGGAAGCTGACAGGACAGGTACCAGGAAACAGCAGCTCCCACCTGGACCATTGGGAGACTCAACGAATCATTCGAAACGCTTTCCTTAAAAATTCTGTCCAAGAAAATGACCCACTCTCCCAGGCTCCTGTGTCTCAATGCAGGCTCAACTTCGAAACTGAATAGTAATGAACACTACCATACTTTTCCTTTCTTCCTAAGAACTTGAATGAGAATATAGGGTCATGGCGAGAGTGGTGTTGTGCCATGGCATTTAAACATAAACCGCTTCATCCTTCTGTGGCTCCAGACATGATCTCACCCAGGCTTGGTGTCTGGTGTCGCTTTCGGATGCCCCCACCTTGTCTAGGCCACCTCCTATCTGAATTGGCTCCCCCCACAGAAGTCTCTTCCCATTTCCCCCACTTCCTGGCCAGTCCTGCCTTGAGAATCCTTACTGCCCCCTCCTTTCTTCCCCACACCGCCCCCCCCCCTTAACTCAGAGCCAACTTTCCTGCAGAATCTTTCTGCCCTCCCCTTTCCCTCCCCGTCACTTTGCATGATGGGATACCTCCCCACTTCCTCCTGAGAAAACCCTTGACGAGCTAGCTCTGTTCCCTGCCTCCGTGACGAGCTGCAAAGCCAAGCTGAGACTTTACTTGTCTATGAACAGTAACCCCGTCCCTAATGAAATGTTGTGCCGAGTGCCTTATAATCTTCAACTCTTATTTACATTCTTTGGAATAACAAGAGCTAACGCTGACTGTGGCCAGACATCGCTCTCAGTGCTTCACCCGCATTTACAGTGTAATCCTCACAACAATCCTCTAAACCAGATACTGTGATTAGCCCTGTTTTATAGATAAGACAGCTGAGGCCCAGAGAGGTTAACCTGACCAATGTCACTTGTCTAATAAATGGCAGTCTTTGAAAACCAGGGTGTCTGCCGTGACAGCCCAATTGTTTTGTAACTACATACATACTATGTCATATATCATCCAGCGTGGTCCATTTCATGGGGAGGGCAGGACTTAGCTTGTTCCTCTTTTTATAAAGCTGGAAAGAGACAAAACTTGCATCCATGTCCAGACCTTTTTGTTTTTGTTTTTTGAGATAGAATTTCACTCTTGTTGCCCAGACTGGAGTGCAATGGCATGATCTCAGCTCACTGCGACCTGTCTCCTGGGTTCAAACAGTTCTTCTGCCTCAGCCTCCTGAGTAGCTGGGATTACAGGCATGTGCCACAATACCCAGCTAATTTTTATTTTTAATAAAGACACGGTTTTTCCCTGTTGGTCAGGCTGGTCTCAGACTCCTGACCTAAGGTGATCAGCCCACCTCAGCCTTCCAAAGTGCTAGGAATACAGGTGTGAGCCAGCCCTTTTAGTTCAATACCACAACACCTCATGTACAGACTGAGAAGGGCACAGGCTTTTTTCAGCTTAACCATTTATTTTAGATTAAAAAAATTAGCTGTCTTTAGAGAAATCACACACTTTTGCTGCTGGATAAAGGATTTCGGATTAGGGCTGTAGATTCTTCCTATAATTAATGGTAAGCAGCCATGAAAGTAATCCTGTGCCTGAAGCCTTAAGAATCATCAAATTCAGCCTCAGGGAAATCAGGCTGCAGCCTCAGTCGGTCAGAAAGAAGGAATTGAACAAGTTCAACTCCCTTCCTTCTCTGCTCATCCTTTATTTACTAGTAGATCAGGGCTCCAGGGATGATAAGGTGCGTTTATGAGCACCAGGTGCTTCTACTTGGCATTCCCCTAGCCCCATAGGCACACAGAGGATGCAGCAGAAAAACAGTAAACATCCTTGTATTCTATACAGCACCTTCATGCTTATGAAGTACTGCTGTGTTCTATATCTCAGCTGAAGCTCACAACAGGGAGAGCTGGTCTTATTAGCCCCATTTTTTTTTTTTTTTTTTCAAAAGAAACAACAGCAGGTGGGTTTTGGGAGCTCACCGCCAGCAAGTGGTAGGAATTGAGGCTACATTTGCCACCCCAAATTGGTAGGAGCACCAAGGAGAAAGGGAGGTAGAGGGGCCTTAGCCCTCCCGTGTGCTGCAATGCCCGCTCCAACCCTCCTCTGAAATAGACAGTTGATACTCATGTGAGCAGCAATGCCAGCAACTGGCCTTGGAGAAATGCGGTAACCACCATGCTAGGGCCGTTTTACATGCATCTCGCCCCCTAGTGGTGAATGGTGAATTCAGGACTAGGTCTGTATTATGAATGGCTCTAGAACCTTTGTGATGATTTTAGCCTCTCAACTACTTTCTGTGTTAGGTGACTTTTCAAGATGAAAATATTGCTAAAGACAGCTAAGGCTGTGGTTCCCTGATTCCTTACTTTGTTGGCTACTAGAGGTATTCCAAACATTGAGAAACCAAGTAATCTTAGAATCTGATGTAGGGAAGCTAAAAAGAAAGTGGGGTGAAATGGGACGATAAACTGGCCTTTGGTTCATAAAATATTAATAAGCTGTAGGCAAATGCTTAGTGATTAGGATTTGAAGATCTCTTTTCCCTCATTCTAGAGAAGACCATCTGTTCATGTTTTGTAGGCGAGAAGTGGGTTAACTATAGGGTCATGGAAAGGACGCAACATCTTCCTCTGTTACTGGGCTGGGGCAAGATTTCCCAGCAAGCAGCCTCAGTGTAATTCAACACATTGAGAAATTGCTGTTCAAGTAATTCACATGAACCATCTTTTGCCAGCTTCAGTTTTGTTCATAGGCAAATACAAAGTTGAAAAATAAATGCAAAGAATGATTTCTGATTGTCACTGAGACGGAAAGTAGATGCTTAGATTCTCACCCTGTGGATTTTTTTTTTTTCTGAAAAAGCACCAATCATATATTGTGTCTAACCGAGGATAGAATTGGGGCTATGCCAAATTCTTTGGCTTGAAACTAATATTTGGGCTGAGTGGAAGCTTATTCTTTCTGAGTTTTTCTCTCCCTACCCCCATCTTCCAATTAGCCTGGTCCATATGCCTTTCTACCAGATAGCCTCCGTTTGCTACTCACTATATTCATAGTTTCATATTGTAAATTATACCTTTAATTTGAATGTGCCCTAAAGCTCAGCAAAGAAGCGAAAAGGATAAACATCCGTGTGGATGCAATTCTAAACAATGGTGAATTCAAAGGAGAAACAGAAGGAAAAAAGAAGAGCATTAACGGAAATGGAAAGAATTGACATGAGAAAACCAGGGTTTCAAGAATGTATTATATTTATGGAAAGTGAGTTTTGAGGTAAAGGAGAAAAAATAGAATAAACTTTTCCAAATATTAGCGCATTTGGGGAGAACATCATTTGTACTTTTGTTGATATGTATATAAACAGAATTTGTTTTATCCACATAGACTGTTAGCTTCTTAAGAGTATAGAAAGTGTTTTACTTTAAAAATAAAGGATTGGCCAGGTGCAGTGGCTCATGCCTATAATCCCAGCACTTCGGGAGGCCAAGACAGGTGGATCACCTGAGATCAGGAGTTCAAGACCAGCCTGGCCAACTTGGTGAAACCCCATCTCTACTAAAAAATACAAAAATTAGCTGGGAGTCGTGGTGGGTGCCTGTCTTCCCAGCTACTTACGAGGCCGAGGCAGGAGAATCGCTTGAACCCAGGAGGCGGAGATGGCAGTGAGCTGAGATGGCACCATTGCACTCCAGCCCAGGGGATAGAGTGAGACTCTGCCTCAAAATAGTAATAATAATAAAGGATAATTTGTTTTTCTCAGTGCCTACCAGGCCTCCTGCCAAGAAGCTTAATACCTCTGATTAGAACAAAAAAGACCCAGAAGGTGTCAATGTTTATAGAAAAGTTCCTTCCAGGCATTCTCCCCAGGGACCCTCCTCTCCATCCTCTGTGCAACTATACACACACACCTTCTTGCCGCAGAAATTGTCCCCACGAGCACCTTTCCTGGGCACAATGCCTT